AAAAAAAAAAATTAAGAATGATGCACACCTGCAGAAAATCGAAAAAATCAAGACTTTACTTCTTGAATTCCAAGTACAACTTTCTGATTTGCCTTTCTCACTCTCGATCTCTCCAATATTCCTTCCGGGCTTCACCAATTTCCTTCCCTTCTCCCGATTTGTTTCCCCCAATTTTCGACCAATTTTTCCACCTCCACTTTCAAAGCTGAAGCTTCCCCTTTTATACAGAAACAGGGAGAACCCAAACCTTTTCCAATTCTAAATTCTTATCTCAATCCCTAAAATTACAGATAATAATCTAACCCTATTAGAATTTGAAATTCTAAAACTAATCTAGTTCTTTACACATCTTCCCTCTTTTAAGGCTAGATTCATACCTCAGGACTCCCAATTTGAATCGACTTCGAAAACTTCCTCTGCGACTCTTGATAAGGGCTTCAAATCCGAAAATCTCTTCTTGTGTTGTTGTGATCTATCTAAACTTCGAGTGGATTTGTAGATAAATCAAAAGAATTTGGGAATTTCGGGAGAGTGCCTCACGGCAAGAAGAAGAACCGTGAAAGTGAGGGACTTGCGTTCATCTGAACCCTTACCCCCCCTTTTTATTTTTTCAGCCTTCAAGCAAAATGACGTAGTTTTGCAATCTCTTCCCCTCAGCCCTTTAAGTTTCATACTTTTATAAAAACAATCCACTGACTTTTACTTTTATCATTTAGCCCCAATTAAAATTGGGTTATGATAGTTGCTATGGAAATAAAAAGAGTGATAAGGCCAATCATCAACTTTCAAGGTAAGGACACATGAAAATCTTCATCTTTGCGCAACATTCGGATTCCCAAAAACATTAAACCTGAAGTAGATGCAGCAAAGAAGGATATTGCATCGGTTATCATAAATATCTTAAATAATTTTTGGACGCTGATACAGTTACCTTTTGAATCCACACCCTCCCTCACACATGCTTGGTTCAAAAATAAAACCAAATAGCCTCTCTGAGAGGCTTATCTCTCACTTATCCAACACAAATCACTCACTGTAAACACATGAATCAGTGAGATCTAACACTGCAGTCTTCACACAGATTACCCATCTATGAAACCCCTCGAAATGCAGTTGTGAAGAAAATCGAGGCAGCTAGGGGGTGTTCAAAACCCAGATCACAGAGCAAGGATCTTCCGCTATGAAGGAGACCCACAAAATCAGGTGTGGAATTTGGGCGTCTAGAATCCAATTGTCGCCTGATCATCTTCTTCTCTCCACCCATTCTCAAACTTGCCGGCTTCCATTACAAACCATCTCCTTCGTCAACGATCAAAACCATCTCCTCCTTCCTTGTGCTTCTTCTTCTTCATTCCCCCTCTCTTTCTCACCCCCTTCCTCCATTTCCATCTAGTCTAAAGATCCAAGCAAAATCAGTAGTAAAAAATCATATTCCACTTTTTCCGACATGTTTGTCGACGATGTTGGATGGGTCTCTGAAGTCTTTGCTCTCATCAGTTGTTGATTCTCTTGCAGATCTTATGCTTGCAAATCAATTGCTGCAACCCACGTTCCTATTCCGGCGCTGAAATCTTATGCTTGATCCATCGGGGCAATTCATGATTTGAAAAATTGAAGCAATCAGTGCATTTGAAGAAGCCCTTTTTGGTGGCGTTCCCCGCCAGACAAGCGAAGTTCTTGTATTTGTATCTGCTCCATCGGATATTACGGTCGTCGAGAATCTTCCACAAGGACTTATTGATGCTATACGACAACTGTAATTTGATTTTTAAAGAAATTCATAGATTATTATAGACAATTTGTTAATTAATTTCATTTGCAGGTAATTAAAATCTGGATTTGCTTTGAAATGATCGATTAGAATTGTTTTGTGGTGTTAGTTGTTTAGTTTATGAGAAAATAAAAAAAAAATATGAACGAGATTGAAATTTTGTGGTAATTTTATACAAAAAATATGAATAAATTAAAATTATAATCTTGTTTTGTTCATCTTTTAGTTGAATTGATTATGATTCTTTAGTTAAGGTTTACCATTGCATTCTATTTGGATATATAAATAAGTCAAGATTAAGAATTTTAAAAAAAATATATTTTTTTTGGTACATTTAAAAAAATATATTTTATAAAGCGTGCACCCACTCATTGTTGGACCTACGGATGCACCAATCATTTCTCATAATTTTTTTGCCTGAGTATGGATAACCCTTTAATCTGATCATTGCCACCTGGAACAGTAAAAGATACTGCGAACATGATGGTAACAGGGAGAATAATAAAAGAACTTCTTGTGTCTGTCATCCATTTCTTTGTTTCTGCGAACATTTTTGTTTTTTAAGTTTAAATGTAGAAATTAATTAAGATGATAATTTTAATTTACATTAACTAAGATTATAGTTTTAATATATAATAATTAATATTATAATTTAAATTTTATTATTTCTTAAAAAACTTAATTTTATTATTAAATAAATATTAATCTTTTTAACAAGTAAATCCTTACAAAATTTAATTTAATTAAATGACCATCCAATATATAATTAAAATCACCCAAAAAATAGGATTTTATTTTAATTTTATTAATTAAATTTTAGTAATCATCTAATTAAAATCATGTACGTGTTACCAATGTTGAAAATTAAATTAAACCTTGTACTTTCCTATACAAGTTAATAACAAAAGTGTAATTTAATAATAAAATTAATTTTTAAAGAAATAATACAATCTATTTTTTATTTTTTATTTTAAAATTATAGATCTTTTCAATTTAGAATTTATTAAAGAATAATATTTAATTTTTTAAAGAATAATATTTAATTTTTTATTCTTTAAAAAATAGTTTTTTAATTTAATCTTATAACTATTTCCTAACTTCAATTATTATCATATGATAAAAAGTTCTTTTTATAATTTTTTAAAAGAAAAAATAGGTTATCTCCAATGTTTTGATCATATTAGTTCATATTTTATCTAAGGAAAATGATTTAGAAACCATTTTGTACAATTATACATGTTATTTAAATGATTAACTCATTTATTTATTTGTGACCGATAATACTGAATACATCTACTCATTTAATAACATATTAGGATAGTGTAAAAAGATTGAAAAATGATGTGTGCACACCCAGATCCAATACCCGGGTGTGCACACATCATATAAAAAAAAAAATGCCCATCACCCGGTTCATTTTTTTTTTATATGAGGGGTGCACACCCGGGTGTTGGATCCGGGTGTGCACCAATCATTGTCCTAAAAGATTGTATCAAAAAATTATATTTGTATCACTACCCTAAACTGTTTTTGAATTAATGTATTATATATTTTAATTATTTCTTTTTGCCATTTGTTCTATCATCCCACAATCTCTTCAGACCTATTCTTTTTCTTCTTTTTTTGTTTCTTTTCTTTTTCGGAAAGCAAATATCATTGATAAATAAAAACTATAGAGTTAAATGGGCAAGAAACATAGATCACAGTTAGTCCTTATCTAAATCCTCAAGGCACATTTGGGGCTATGGGTGGCAAGCTATTACATTTGTCTCAATAAGAGGAAAAATTAAAAAAATTAATGCAACTCTAGCAATACTTGGATTTCAGCCTGAATTGCTCTCAATCTTATGAGTCTAACCACTTCCTTTTTTGGCCCAGCAATACTTCTTTTTGAGGCTACTTACAATCATTGATCTTTTGAATCCCGAGTCCAATGCTGGCCTCGTAACAGACGCAATGGCTAGCAACTCTTAGAGTCCACAATCAAGAAGAAACCTTTCCTAAACTATTGTTATCTAATACATGATATTATACATCGAAACTAATGCATGGATACAAAAGTTACTCTGTATTAGGGAAACCATTAATCTTGGAAATTAAAGGTACTTATATAAATTTTTACTGAACTTGATCAAGTAAGAAACTGAAAATATGTTGCTTATTTTCCACTCTAGAGAACATATATTGATTAGCTATAGTTGGAACACAATAATACATTCTCAAAAATAGGACAATATCATAAGGAAACCAATGTAAAATTTCGAATATTAAAACAACTATTGTAGCAATTCATTAAAAGACAATAAACAAATACGAATTAAACAAAATATTCACAAAGCTGTCTTCATAGGAATTAAAATTAAATTCTTCAAAGCATTCTATTAGATGTTCTTCAGATTCCTTATTTTCACAGCATTCTTATAAGAAAAGCAATAGGAGTTTTGAGTTTAAAATTGGTAGTATTATTATATAGAAATAATAATAATAATAATAAAACTTTAAATCATATAGACAGCACCATTTTCCAATATGAACATTCCTTTTAGCTAATTTTGTCGATGTGTTTAGCACTTCAGATGGATTATCTTCTTCTAGCTCCTCCTCACTATGCAAGGATATTATTTGAAGCATATTATTTTACTATAAAGTAAAATTATATAGGGCCAATAATCATAATGAATATCAAAGGAATTTATTTATCATACCACAGGTTCTCAACAGTAGTTGTTCTCTCATTTCTGTCTTCCATTATGATATTATTTATAACAGAACCAACCCTTTTTTGATAAGCTTATCTACAACACCATCATCCCGGGTACTACATGACATCAGAGGATCATAACTAATAAAAGATCTTAATAGCTAATTTAAAGTAATTTAAAATAACATTTTCACTTATTAAAGGTATTGAAAACATATAATTATCACCTTTGCAATTTAAACTCTAAGTTCGAATCCTTTTGAGGTGAAGGCAGAAGGTCCAACTGCTTGTCTTTATTTACATTAATCCCTTGTACACTGGCATCAAATCCAACAAAAGTACTTCTGCAATAGACATAAATTATATTAATTATAAGAGAAATGTCTACAATATTTTTGTTAAAAAATAACATGTCAAAAAAAAAAGAAAAAAGAAATATAATGAATGTTAGCAAAAATCAAGTTAGAAAAAAACAACCTTTTTTTCTCAATAGATGAAAATGAAGATTCAAGATTTCTAATAGGAACAATCAATTCAATACTCTGCTTTCCCTTCCTGTATATATATTTGAATTCATATTTACTTTTCATGAATTATTAAAAACTTAAAAATGCCAAACTATCAAAGATATGGTCATACCCAATTTCATCTGTACAACCTTCTAGCATCTCAACAACACCTTTTTGTTTTCCAATCACAAGAAGTGTGATGGAACCTTCTGCAGATGGCCTTACAACAACTACAAATATCAATCAAATCTCTGAAATGCATAACAAACATAATTAATTGTGGACCTTAACCAAAATGTGAATAACAACACTCTTTTATTAAAAAAAAATTCATTTACTACAATGGAAACTCTTGTGAAGGATCTATATGATAAAAAAAAAAAAAAACTGGTTTTAAGTTTCTTTAACAATGGAGTGATGTTTTCATTAAACAGTAATGTTAAATAACTAGACAACCTTTTATCTTCACTCTTTGGGGTATCTAAACTTCCTGAACGATTTGGTATTGTAACCTTGGAAGACATTTTTTATATTAGTTTGAACATAATGAGATAATAAAAGATTGTCAAAAAAAGTCCTGAATTATGAAGCTACATCTATCATCAGGATAATCATTCTTCTTCTGGTAACTTGAAAGATCTTAGATTTACCCACGAGTCTAATACTTAATGAATTCTATCAAGTAAGATCTTCCAAATTTTATATCAAGTCACATGTCCATTAAACAGTCTAATGCTTAATGAAGTCAATACGACCACCACTGTGCCCTCTTGTTCTAATGCATTGAATTCTCTAAATTGCCTACACAAGTTATCACAAAGAGTAATTGGAAATTCATTTCCACTACATCCATTAAACTAAAATGACCATTTTCAACAAAAATAGATTCCATTAAAAAAAAATTAAAGTTTAACAGGTAACAAAAATATACATACTATAGATGCTTGATATAAAACTTGGATCTTTTTTCTTTCAGCATCCTCGCTATTACTCAATTTGGCAACAACCACTGTGGATAGAAGACCAATTAAATCTACACTAATAAGAGAAAAAGAGTGTGTATAAGAACAAAATGTAAATCTGAGGTGGTAAATTTTATAACCATTTAAAAAAAAAAAACAAAAACAAAAGAAATAATCACCAAAACAAATTTATCATACCACTAAGCACGTTACCTTTATAGATAATAACAAAAAGTAATCTCAATGCCAAGGCACGTGACCACCCAGTCACAACAGTTGTTCATTGCCATCTAATGAAAAATTATACTATTCATTTTATAAAATTCTTAAAAAAACAAAAGAACATGCACCTGTTAGATTTTGATCCTTATGCAGCCTGCTCAATGCCACAGGATATGTCTCAAAATTGAAGACATGGTGCTTAATTGTCAATGTATCCTCAGATTCTACAGTAGCTTCAATACTTCCATTAAACTGATTTTTTCATTCACAGGCACAGGTCTTTTAGGCATAATGCCCAAATCCACCTCAAAATTGGGCGGATCCACCTCTAAACAAAAAAACATGACTTACAAAGTTTTCGATTTGGACAAATCATCTTCAAATTTATTGTGTGAAGTCATCTGATACCAGTTAATAATGAACTGACGCAACAAATTAATGGATTACTTATGCTAGATGACATCACACATAAAATGTAGATGATATGTCCAAAGTTTTTGTGGGTGGATTTGTCCACAATTTTTGTTTGGGGCGCATTTGGGAATTTTCCCGGTCTATAATTCGTTGCCAACACGCAACCAAAATTAAAAATGGCATACATGCACCTTCTTGCAGCAATGATCTAAATTTAGGAACTTTTTTTTTTTTCAATTACAACATGAATTGCGTCCCCCTACCAATTTATAAACACTTAAAAATATAAATTTGTCCCAAAATTACATAAAGCAATTTGTTTTTTTTTTAAAAAAAGAAACATCTCAATGAAATAAATAAATGCACATAATTGAACAACCCAAACTTACATTTTGATCAATTCCCAGGGCATCTAGACCGCATTTGTCCGCTGAAGTTGGTGGTGTGCCGGTAGTCCATATCCGGCAGAGTGTCAACCTTATCCGAGTATTTAGATGACCTCTGATCAAAGTCTGTATGAAACTCCATTGTAGATCCATTTTGACTCTTCAAAATAAAAGAAACAATAATGAGAAACACTTTTATAAACTCGGAAAGCACACAACAGCTAGTTGAGAAAGCCCCCTCACCCATCTTCAAGGAAACCAACAGTAACCGTTAAAAAACCACCCACTAAAACTCAAACTCAACAGTTGAAGACAGGCTTTAATAACTGGAAATTGGGTAATGTTAGAATGGAAATTCTGCCCACTTATTTGGGCTTTAGAAGGAAGAGAATTGGGAAAATAAGAGGTTTGTATGGTGGGCTTCAAGTGTTTGCAATGGATCTGTAAAGTTTGTGGCCATTTCTGTTTTTAGGGTTTGTATTGAAGAGGAAAGGAGGATGTCTTCAAGCAATTTTTGGCTTCTTTCCTCTTTTAAATATACGACCACGCACGTTTGCCTATCCAAAAAAAAAGAAAAGAAAAGAAAAACAAAACACCATTAGACTTGGCAAAAATACGTCAGATCCGTTGACCCGAACTTAACCCAATCCGTAAAAATGAGTTAGAGTCTACATATCCTAACACATAATTCGTAGATAACTCGTATTATTAACCATATGGATCATAGATCGGGTTAGGATCAACCCATTAGTTGATGGGTTGACCTATTTATTTATTTTTTTTTAAATATTATACTTATTATT